GCTATTAGAATGAAGTATCTGAACACAGACTCTTTGATCAGATCATTGTCCCCAGAGCTGCCCCTTTGTTGCTGTGCCCTGATGAAACTTTAGGCTTCCTTTGCTTAAGAATGGCTGTCTTCTGCCCAGCTGGCATGGCTCGGTGACTGAGCATCAACCTATGAATCAGGAGGTCACAATTCGATTTCTGGGCAGGGCACATGCCTGGGTTGCGGGATCGATCCCCAGTGTGGAGCATGCAGGAAGCAGCTGATCAATGATTCTCTCTCATCACTGATGTTTCTATCTCTCTTTTCCTCTCATTCCTCTCTGAAATCAATAAAAATATTTGTTTAAAAACAGAATGGCTGTCTTCTCCCAACATTCACAGTTCAGAATCTTAGCAGATAAAAGCTGTGAAAAATAAGTCTAATTTAAATTAGTGTGATGGCAAGGGCCCAGGTTTTAGATGCAAAGAGTTGTCTTTATCTTTGTGCCTCACTGCTTCATTTTGTCATTGAGCCGCATTTCTTCCTTCTTCTCTGAGCTGGAAACAATACCTCTCACACCGACTTCACCAGCCACTGAGAGGCCCATATGTGATAGCATATTTGAAAACACTTTGCGAATTGTAAAGCAGTGACTGGGCCACACCAGCCAGAGTAGGAATGGGGGTGTGGGAGAGGAGAGATCAGAGTGGAATATATTAAGTAAAATGCAGGGTTTCTAGTCAACAAATATACATTGAGTGGCTACTATGTATAGGCACTAAGATTCTGGGCATACTGCAATCAAGACATGGTCCTTGTTCTCAAGGAGATTACTATCTAGTGCAGTGGTTCTCAACCTTTCTAATGCCTCGACCCTTCAATACAGTTCCTCATGTTGTGGTGATTCCCAACCATAAAATTATTTTCATTGCTACTTCATAAATGTAATTTTGCTACTGTTATGAATCGTAATGTAAATATCTGATATGCAGGATGTATTTTCATTGTTACAAATTGAACATAATTAAAGCATAGTGATTAATTACAAAAACAATATGTAATTATATATGTGTTTTCTGATGGTCTTAGGCGACCCCTGTGAAAGGGTCATTCGACCCCCAAAGGGGTCGCAACCCACAGGTTGAGAACTGCTGATCTAGTGGAATGTTTATAGACATATATAGTCTATTTCAATACAGTTTATTAAGAGGTAAAATCAGAGAGAGTAACCAAGATGGGTTCAGGTCTCATGGGTGGTGATGTAGCAGGGTAGTGAGAAGCACAGACTCTGTACCCAACTGCTTGGGTCTGAATCCTGGTTACACCACTTATCACTGTCTGACCTTGTGGAAGTTATTAAGATCACTGTGCCTCCATTTTCTCATAAGTAAAAGGAGAATAATAACCAACTTCAAAAAATTGTGAAGGGACTACATGAGACAATATATGTAAAGCATGTATCACAATGTCTGGAACACTGAGTAAACACTCAAAAGTATGAACCAGTTTTGGAGGGAGAAATCAGGGAAGGCTTCCCAGAAGCAGTGACATCTGATATGAGATCTGAAGGATGATAGGAATTAACAAGTCAAGGGACAAGGTATTGTGAGATGAGTATATACCAGGCAGAACACCCAGATTCTTCAAACAGTAATTTCTCAAACTTTCATGTGCATAAAAATCATCTAGGAATCTTGTAAAGTGCATATTCTGAATCAATAGCCCTGTAATAGAACATTTCTAACAATGTTTCCAGAGAAAGCTGATGATGCTGGTATCTGTTCTACACTTCCACTCAGTAGCAAGGTTTTAACTGGATGCATAATTTTCAAGAAGAAACGGCAAACTATTTAAGAATAGATGGCATTGCCGAACCGGTTTGGCTCAGTGGATAGAGTGTCGGCCTGCGGACTCAAGGTCCCGGGTTCGATTCCAGTCAAGGGCATGTACCTTGGTTGCGGGCACATACCCAGCAGGGAGTGTGCAGGAGGCAGCTGATCGATGTTTCTAACTGTCTATCCCTCTCCCTTATTCTCTGTAAAAAATCAATAAAATATATTTTTAAAAAAAGAATAGATGGCATGAAAATTGTACAGAATAGGGGTTGGGGGCTGTTGTACAGGATAGAGAGTAGGAGAGATGAGATCTGTGATGCTGATAACTGCCTAAGGGGCTAAATCACAAAGGGACTTGCAAGTGCAGAAAAGAAAAATGAATTTAGAACAGCAAAGAGGGCTTTAGCTGGCAAGTGGAAAAATCAGAAGAAGGGGAACCCCACTCAAAGAAAGGAGACCAACTAAGAGGCTTTTTCTGTTATATAACAGTAGGTGAGAAATGATGGTGGCCTGAACTAGGTGGCCTTGAAGACTGAGAGAAGTGGGGGAATTCAAAAGCTATTAGAAAATACAATCAACAATTTATTTGGTGGTGGATTTGTTTGGGGGATAAAGGGGTTGGAGAACACAAGAAAGACAGGGCATGAGGTTATCAGGTTCATTTCAGTTGCCCATAGTTCACACATAATAACAAAGCATGTGGAGAAGAACTGCTCATCAGTGGAACAGATAGGTAGGGTCTTCTCCATCAGAGATGCTCCTGCTACTTTTGGCAACTGTTGACCTATTTTCTTCAAACTACCTTCAAACTGCCTCAATTTCTACTCACTACTAAAGAAACACAAAACCAGTAAGGTAAATCAGTACTTCAAAGTTTAGCACTCTCTTTCTGTTTTTTTTCATTAATTGTGTGGGGTGTGTTGACTTTCCCAAATTAGTTATTACTTTGAGGACAAGGGCCATATAAAATCTATTGAATTAATTCCCACAATGCTGATGACCAACTAGGCACTTACTGCATGCTAGTTGATTATTTGATAGAATAACATCTATCAATGTCACTTTTTATCATCTCATAAGATGATAAAAAGAATAACATCTGTAAGGTGTTGAGTGTTTTACATGCATTATAAATGCCATCATCTTCTTTGGTTCCTCTGAGACCCTTATATTCAGGCAATTTGTATAATAACTTGTTTGACTATAGTTATGTCGAATAATTTTTAATAGAATGGAAGCCTATTTCATTACTGTCAAACTCTACTGCCATCTACTGTTCATGCAATAAGTTAATATGTTGTGCGCTCCACCACCTCTATTTACTACTCAATGTTTGTTTTCTTCAGACTTCAAGGGTTTTCTGTGCTTTAAGCTTCAACCCAAAATAGATGTAATTGTCTAATAGTTTCTGATTTTTTTAAATAACAATTCAGCATGATATTGACAGTTTTCTCTCATGGCCAGAAAGAGTTTAAACCCTTATGGAATATTAAACATTTTAAAATTTAATGACACAATGATCTTTTCTTAGCCCCCCTCCACCCACCAAAAAAAAAACTAAAAAAAGGTAATGAAATTTATGAATAATTTTTCCTTACCTCTAGTAGACATCATTAAACTGGTTATACTTCATTTAGGGTATAAATCTTACTCATCCTTCAAGGTCCTCCTTTCAAATGATACCTTCTCCATAAAACTTTCCCTCACTCTTCATCCTGGAATAAATTCTTCCTTCCACAATTGGTAATTGTTATAATGAACCGCATAATGGAAGGACAACAAAAATTCCAATAAAAAATAACTTTGTAAGTCATTTCCCTTTATTCCCCCTTCTCTATTGGTTACAGTTTATTCTTTTGCATATGAACTGGACTCTCAGCTGTAACAATCATATAAGAGGTTCTAAGAACGGCACCTTTTTGGAAGGGCAGGGACAGAAGCAGAAACATGTGTTGAATAATCGGATGAGATTTGAGGCAATTTGTCTTTGCTGTGAGACTTTAGCCAACTTCCTGTGCTACATAGTGAGGATTTCAAAAGTCAATAAAATGACAATAGACCAAGACTCAAATCCTTGCACATTCATCACTAATTCCTTATTTTAGAATGAAAAACGCCAGTTTAAAAGGGGAGGGAAGCACCCAGGAAAGAAAAATTAAAGTAACTTTCTGGCATAATTTAGGTGCCTGGGAGTAGTTTGGTTGTACTGTATTCAATGGGGAGGCTGGGCAGTGGTGACCAAAGCCCCAATGCCTTGTATTTCATAGATCTAAATTGAAGTCCAGTCCGTGCTACAAATTAATTGTGTTTTAGCAAGTCACTTGAACTTCCTCGCAAGATAGGAGCACCTCCTCTTCTGTGCATTGCATGTATTTATATCTAGGGCCACTCATAGGTCTTTGGATGTTTTTCTTTTCTTGTTCAAGGTCACAGCGCCTTAGCGCGGCGCTCTCTGGGAGACTGCAGCGTCCAACCCTTACACTTGGCGTCTTCTCTGAGGTCACAATCACCGATTCCATCCCACACTTGCAATCTCTTCACCGCGAACGGATGGAAATCGCCACAACTGATGGCAGCCCCGCGCTCTGAAGAGCCCTTGGAGGGTTTACTACTCAAGTTGAGGGAGGGAGGAAGGTCAGGGACCTCTTCTCGTCGTCCCATCTTCCCCGGCCTTTTCAGATACGGAATATTTGAAGGGTGTAAGGGATACAGCGGTAGCCATGGAGGCAAAGAAGAGCCTTCTCCTAGTAGGAACACAAATCTTCGACTTGGGCTATGTTTCCGGAGGCATTCTCTACGGACCCAGGCGGGGAGCGACTTCCGGATCTGACTTCCTGTCTTCCAAGTTTCGAGTTCCGCCGCTTCCGCCCAGAGTTGCTCTAGGTCCGGCTGGGAGCAGCTACTTCCGCCAGGAGTCCCAGCGGCTGGGACTCGGAAACCGGCCCTAAAACAGCTTCCTCCTCCTCCTCTCGGCCCGCCCATCCAGGCCAGGTCCCCAGGTTGGGCGGCGGCTGCTGGGCCTGTCGCGGGGACTTTCTCTCGGGCCTTGTCCTTGGTCCGCGGAGGACCGGGAGGTGCGGCAGAAACACC